AGAGTAGAACTGCCCCATAGGGTTTCCAAGGCTGAAATCATTATGGAAGCAGACTGCCACATCTTTCTCCTGCAGAGCGGCTGGTGGTTTGAACTGCTGACCTTTCAGTTAGCAGCCAAGCGCTTAACCACTGCACCACCAGGGTGCCTCCAAGAAGAGTATTACCATAGATAAAAGGAGGGCCTTTCACAATGATAAAAAGGGTCGATTCATCAAGAAGATAATCAACTTTAAGTATGTATGCACTTAATAAGAGCTTCCAAATACATGAAGTAGAAGTTGACAGAACTAAAAGGAAAAAGACAAATCCACAAGCATAGTTGCTGACTATAGTATTTCTCTTTCAATAACTGATAAATAAAGTCTTTAAAGAAATCAGGAAGGATATATAAGATTTGGGCAATATTATCAGCCAACTCGACCTAACTGATATTTACAGAACATGTCACCCAACAAAAGCAGAATACACATTCTTCTTAAGTGCAAATAGATTATTCACAAAGATAAGACTGTATGCTAGGCCATAAAACAAGTCTCAATAAATTTCAAAGGCTCAAAATCATACAGGATATATTCTCTGACTACAATGGTATTATATTACCAATCAATAATAATGTTTTAGAAAATCTTCAAATACCATATTTTTATGCAAATAAAGCTCACCTTCTATGTTTGCTTGCTAACCGCGCCCCATCTCCACGAAGTATTTTTGTTAAGTGCACTAAGCTATTTTTTTTTTTAACAGCAACATGTAAAAAAAAAAAAAAATTGACATAACAGCACTTATGAAAATAACTTGTTGGGGGGAGGGCACGGTTGGCAAACATAGAAGGTGCATGTTATTTGTGAAGAAACACAGTATTTGGAACTTAAACAGACTATAAATAATCCATGGGTCAAAAAAAACCACAAGGTAAATTTTATAATATTTTTAACAGAAAGAATGAAAATACAACATATCAAACTGTGGAAGAAGCTAAAGCAAGCTTTGAAGGAAATTTAAGCTTTAAATGCCTATATCAGAAAAGAAGAAAAATGTAAAATCAATGATCTATGCTTCCATCTTAAGAAAATAGAAAAAGATGAGCAAATTAAACCCAAGTTCAGCAGACGAAAGGAAATAATAGAAATAAGAGTGGAAATGAAATGGACAAGCATTAGACAAAATAAACATAGTCAAAAGCTGGCTCTTTGAAAAAAAACTGATAAACCCTTAGCAAGAGTAATCAAGAAAACAAATATGTCAACACAAATTACCAATATCAGAAATGAAAGAAGGAATATCACTATAAATTCTACAATCATGAAAGGGTAATCAGCCAATATTATAAACAACTTTCTGCCAATAAATTCAACAACCAGATGAAATAGACAAATTTATTTAAAGACAAAGATTACCAAAAATGACACAAGATGTAGCAGAAAATGTGAATAGCCCTATATCCATTAAAGACATTGAATTCACAATTTTAAAAAGTCCCACAAACAAAACAAGTCCAGATAGCTTCACTGATGAATTCTACCAAACATTTAAGGAAGAATAACCAGTATTATACAAAGTCTTTCAGAAAATAGAGAAGGCAGAACATGTCCCAACTCATTTTATAAGACTTGCAAGCAAGACCCAACAATATGCCAACATAAGCCTGATAGCAAACTAGACAGGACATTACAAGGAAAAATAGTACAGATATTAGAAAATACTAATATCCCTCATGAACATAGACGTAAAAACCTTTAACAAAATCATAGCAAATCAAATATATTAATATATGAAAAGGATGACAAGAGCATAACCAAATGGGTTTATCCCAAGAATGCAAGGTTGGTTTAACATACAAAAATCAATCACTGTAATCCACTGTCATAACAGATTAAAGGAGAAAAATCATACAATCATTTCAACAGATAACAGATAAAGCAATTGACAAAATTTAAGGCCCATTCATGATTAAAAATAAAAAACTCTGAGCAAATGAGGAATAGCAGGAAACACCCTCAACCTCATAAAGGACATCTACAAAAAACCTATAGTTAACATCATGCTTAACAGTGAAATAGTGAACATTTTCCCCTAAGACTGGGAACAAGTCAAGGATGTCTGCTCTTACCACTTCTACTCAACAGTGTGTCCTGTAGGTTCTAGCTGGTGTAAGAAGGCAAGAAAACAAAAGCATTAAGGAGTAGAAAGGAAGTCATACCATTTCTACCCATGAGGATGGCTGAAGTGGAAAGGCTTTGACATTGTGTATTGGGAAAGTCACAGAAAAACTGGAACTTGCACTTCCTATGACATAGCAGTTTCACTCCTGGGTATTTTCCCAAGAGAAGTGAAAACAGGCTTTGCGAGGCTGAACATGGCTGCCCTCACGCTTTCCGTTAGTTCACTGCTGTTTTCTCTGTTACGTGACCTTGCTAATAAAGACTCCTTCACCGCCACACTGGAATTACCTGCCTCTTTTTTTGGTCTCTCAGCACCCTCCAATTTTGGAGGCAAATTTCAAGTTACTGGTCCATGCCTGGACAACATGTCCACAGAAAACGTGCACAAGACTGTACACAGTGTCTTTATTCACACATGCCAAGCACTGGGAACTCACTGAGGGGCCATCAACAGAAGGGAGAAGCACACAGTGGGTGTCCTCACACGACGTGGGGAATCTCGCTGAGTCCACTGAGCGTAATGCCAGAAACAGAGTGTGCACCTTATGACTCCATGAGGATGACAGAAGGGTGGGAGAAATCAAGGAGTGCTTGCTTGGGGCATGGGATGGCGAGGCTTGCGAAAACCTTCCGGGATGACAGAAATGTTCTCTATCACAAGAGATGTGTGGGCTGCACAGGTGTTTGTAATTGTCAAAACTGACTGTGCGCCTCACTGCGTGTAAACAATATCTTGATAATTAACTGACTAAAATGCAATCTCTTTTCTATTTTGAAAATCTTATTGGAGCCAAAACACTAAATAATTGGGTTAAAAATTCTACAAGGCAATGAAAAATTTGGTGAGAATTTATACTTCAAATTGTATATGCTCTTTTACAACTCTGGATTTTCCTTAGAAGAACGGGTTTCACTGAAGGAAGCATGCCTTCCAGTCACTGTCATTTTAAATAAGTAACATATGTGGGCAGAATGTAACTGTGCTGGGTCAGTCAACAAGGGTTTAGGTGCCTGGCAGGACCGGTCTGGGGTAGAACACACAAATACTCCTCCTAACTGGCCTTCTCCAGCCTTCCATAGCTGCTGTGGCTGGAAAGGGGGGGCGGTGAGTGGGGTGTCAGGGTGAGGGTAGGGTGTGGTGTGTTGGGTAAAGGTGGGGGATGGGGGTAGAGTTGGGTGGGGTGGGGTGGTGGGTGAGGGTGGGGGTGAAGTGTAGGGTAAGGGTAGGGTGGGTGTGAGTGTGGTGCGGTGGGTGGGGATAGATAGCCCTTCTGTTTCACAGCCTTGTGCTTGTCTTGTTTCTCCAATTAAAATGGAAGTGCCTTTCTCTGACCACGCTGCTGAAAGTAGATTTAAAACGTGGCGAACACAAAAAAGGAGGGCCCTTTGGGCCTCCATTCCACTAGTGCCAGCTGCTACTGCTGTCCTCACAGAAAGCAAAGGGAGCCACTGCGAAGCTCTTGCGACACCACAGGACAGCCAAGCACCTACAAACAGGCGCTTCTCCTAACAATACCCTCCAAGTGCAGACAGAAAATAAGTGCTGAAGCGACGCAACTGGGCGTAAACGGAGCTGGCCGTGGGGTCCTGCCAGTCTCAGTACCATAGCGATACTGAGCTCATTCTTCAAGTGAATCATCTGATCATCAAAGCCAACCAACGGGAAGGCAGTAATGCCAGAGGGGCAGGGCAAGCTTGGAGAGCCGGGATGCTGCCAGGTGAGTGCCCATCAAGACACCTGTTCGCTCAGCTTTTAGGCATAATGAGGTGGTGGTGGTGGGGTGCCAGGACGAGGAATATTCTGGATAATGCAAATTGTATTTTCTTCTGTGAGCTACTAAAAACATGGCATCAACACCCCTGGTTGCACACACACTACCTGTGCAGTGGCTCTTAACTGGAGTGGGAATGGGAATACTCTGGGCGTCTCATCAAACCTCCCGCCTCTGACCAGCTGCGCCCGCTCGCCGGGGCGGGGTCTCCAGCTTGCCCCCTCTCGAAGGGCTTCCCCAGACTGAAAACCAGAGAAAGATGGGGCCCTAATCCTGCCTTCCCCCAATACTGAAGTAATACTGACAGAAGAAAGCAAAACAATACATGTTTTCCTTCAAATTTAACAGGATGAAGCAGTTAAGAACTCAGAAAAAAGTTTTACGGGAAAAGCTGCATTTGCCAAAATGCTCTCTCTGCAATGCTGCAAGAAATGTATCCAAACCGCTTGTAATTAATTAAATTGTACCTACACTAAAACATCGATTAAAGTGTTATGATAATAACACCCTCTTTGTACATGCATTACAGGTTTACAACTAAACCTTGACAATTTCGTGGCGATAAACTGACAAAAATAAATCCTAAATCGAAGAAAAAGATCAGGTCTTAACAGACCCTATGACACCTCAGTGCAGTGAGGCCCGGCGGTCTGAAAAGACAACCCGCACCACGTTTCCTTCCCGGCGCTGCGGGCATCTAACCTCCTGGGGGAGCAGACGCCGACAAGGCCTCGCGCTCGGGCTGGGGGTCGCCCTGACAGCACCAGTGACGGCCCCCGGAAGCCTCCGGGGCGCTAGGCTCCGTTTACGGGTGGTCTCTCTTAGCTCACGAAGACGTGGAGAAATGAGAAGGAGGGACCAGGTGGACGCGCTGGGGACTTGTCGTCGGGGACCCTAGGAGCCTGGCCGGGGTCCCCTCGGACCTTTGTCCGGGCCTCCCGCGCCCCGCCCGGCGCCGCCGACGCCGTCTGTCCGGTGTCAGCTCTCGGCTGCGCGGGGGTAGCTGCCTCCGGCACCCCACCCAGCCCCCACCGCTTCCACGCCCGCCCCCAGCCCCTCACTCACCCCAGCGCCCTTCGGTTCCTCTTTCGTACCCCCCCGCCCTCCAGGGGAAGGGGGGGGTCTTGCCGCGCCCCCTGGGACTTGTAGTCTTTCTGTCGCCCTAGCCCGCGGGAGCTGGGAGCGTGCTTCTCAGCGAAAAACTACAACTCCTGGCGGCCCCCGCGAGAACCCGCCCCCCCATAGGTGCGTTTCGTAGCCGGGTTCTCGCGATGCTGAGGAGAGGGCGGCACGGAGCACCCTGGGAAGTGTAGTCTGGGGCCCCTTGGTCCGCGTCTCCGAGCCCTGGACCGAGCTAGGGAGGAAAGGAAAAGACTACATTCCCCAGGATTCCTCGCGTGTCGGCTTTTTTTTGGCGTTCTGTGAGGGGGGCGGGGGGAGCACTGGTGACGCAGTGACGCAAAGCGCCGCTACTAATCAAAAAGTCCTCAGTTCGAATCCACCAGTCGCTCTTTGGAAACGCTAAGGAGCGGTTGTACTCTGTCCTACAGGATCGCTGTGAGTTGGAATAGATTGGACGCCAACGGGTTAGGTTTTTTGGTTAGGGGACGGGGAAGCCTGGCGGGCGGGGAAACAGCCGGAGGCGCCCGAGTGGACTCACTCCGGGGAATGAGGCCCTCGCTACCACCACCTGCCGTCTGAATTGTCACTCTGCCGGAGGGAAGTCCCGAGTAAACTGGGGCTTCAGGCCCATCTCTCCTTGGGGATGGCGCCTACGAAATTACGACACCAATTCTGTAGCCAAGGCCGTGTTTATTAATTTTTAAAATTGTTTTTAGGCGGGAATAGAAAGCTGAAAGTTGTGGTTAAGGTAGCTGTGGACGCTCAGCGGCCTTTAATTTTATTGTTAGAGAAAGTCAGGAGAGGCGGGACATGCTTTACATATGGAATAGAAGTGTCTTTAAGAGGACAAATGCCATCGTAAATACAAAAGACAGCTTAGGGTTTGAATGAAGAGTAAACAAACGAATCCATTTTCAAAGCAAAAAATTCATTCGTGAAGTTAAAATATGTTTCCTAACATGCCGTTTGTAGTTTAGATTTTCCTACCTCAGTCTTGGGATGTCTGTTATGAGACCCTTGGGCTCCTCCCTCACCCAGCTCTCAGATGCAAAGGCAGGACCTGGGCCCCTTGAGCTGAGCAGGAAGAGGCCTTCCTCTTACATTGTCTGCAGTGGGAGTCCTGATATGGAGCCCGTGAGGAATCTGTTCTTGAGACGTGGCAGGGTAGGCTTCCAGGCTGCCAGGCCTCCAGCCCAGCTCTGCCCCCTGCAAGACCTCAGCAGCTTCTTAGTGGAGACACAGTCTTCTTCAGGGTGGGTCAGGATTAACTAGGACTAGGCAGTGGCTATCGGGTCGCTATGAGTTGGAATTGACTCAGCGGCTATGAGTTTGGTCTTTTTTTTTTTTTTTGGTTAGACAGTGTCTTAGTCATCTAGTGCTGCTGTGACAGAAATACTACAAGTGGATGGTTTTAACAAAGAAATTTATTTTCTCTCAGTCGTGTAGGCTACAAGTCTAAATTCAAGGCATCAGCTCCAGGAGAAGGCTTTCATTCTCTGTCGACTCTGGAGGAAGGCCCTTGTAATGCATCAGTCTTCCCTTGGTCTGGGAGCATCTCAGTGCAGGAACCTCAGGCCCAAAGATGCACTCTGCTCCTGGCACTGCTTTCTCAGTGGTATGAAGTTCCCAATGTCTCTCTGCTCGCTTATCTCTTTTATATCTCAAAAGAGATTGTCTTAAGACACTACCTAATCTTGTAGACCTGATCAGTATAACTGCTGCTAATCCATCTTATTATAGCGTAGTGATAGAGTTTACAACACATAAGGAAGTCACATCAGATTACAAAATGGTATACAGTCATACAATACTGGGAATCATGACCGAGCCAAGTTGACAGACATTTTTGGGGGACACAGTTCAATCCATGACAGGCAGTGACTGGTGAATGGCAGGTGGACCCTGCAGTTCATGTTGGAGCAGCCAGCAGGTTGGCACCCGAGGCCCTGGGGGAATGTGTGGCAGGATCTTGGTGTGGTGACAAATACTGCCCTTCAAATGCCCCCTTGGGCAGGCAGAATTGGCCACTAGGAAGGTAGTGGGCCAAGGACTCTGCCCCCTGGATTTTACAGGTTGGACGTGGTTACAGCATCCCTGATGACTGGGGTTGCCCCAGGGCAGCAGCCAGGAGGGGACTGGGCAAGGGCTGTGCTTTCCTCAGTGGCAGCTCTCTGGCTTAGTACTGTTTTGAGCTCAGTGGCTGAGTGTCAACAGAGTTCCGTGACCTTGGGCCTGGGCCAGGAAGGGCACCCACAGCCATGGGCGGGTGCCTGGCAGACTCTGGGCCGACTTCCAGTTCTCTCACTGCACTTCCGCGTAGGAGCTTGCATGAGTGGATGGAAGAGACAGAGGTGACCTCAGGTTTACCTGAGCTGGTGAAGCAGGTCAGACTGGTCAGGTTCTCATGGTGACTCTTTACTCCCCTACTGAGTGCTACCCTGTAGCCTCAGTGTGTTTGGCCTGAGGACTTGGGGGTGGGGAGGGGCCCCTGAATGCCCTCAGTCAGTCCCCATTTCCAGCAGAGTCTGTGTGACAGGACAGTTTGGTGTCCTCAGTGGATGATACCAGGGCAGGTGGAATTTCCACACAAGTGCCTGGCCCTGGCTCGGAGCCTCCCTGCAGTGAGGCTGAAGCTGAAGTGTCAGGCGGCTCTCACACCTTGCCCGTAAGTGCTTTTCAAGGACCTCCCCTAGAGAATGGCACGTGTGCCTGTGTGCAAATAGGAGCGTTGCTGGGGCATCTGAATGAGAGTTGCTGTGCCACCAGGGCCCTCCTTCCTGGTCAGGGCGAAGGCAATGGCTGTGGGATAGGTGTTGCCAGAAATGTGGGGGCATCGGTGCCCATGGGACCACCAAGCCTGTTTGCTCCTGGCTGGGCCTGTGCTATGGGCTGGCCTCTGTGTGCATGGCCACCCATCATGAGTCCAGCATCTTCCCCTTTGTGGCCCGTGGCTCCCTCTGGTTTTTGTCGGAAGTTTTCAGCAGAAACAGCTCCAGTTGTCTGGTGTGAGGATACTTTTTCAGTAAGATTACTAGCACAGGAGGGACAGTGATGCTTGTCTTCTCTTCTGTAGAAGGACACATCAGTTCGTTTCCTTGTTTAGAGGCCAGAGTGTCAATCTTAGGTGCCCTCAGAGCCTCTGTAAAGGAGTCAATGTCACCGAGAGTCTGATCTTGGAAACAGCACAGGATTTGGATCCACCAGAAACTTGGTCATGGAGTTCGTTGAGCTGACAACAGGTCCCTAGAATGGTGTGACTTTTGATGGATGATGACAACTCTTGAGAACCAAACTGTGCTTGGGAATGTGTCATCTTACGTAGGCACTGTCACAAGCAGAACTGTGTGAGGGCCCCGTGCCAACATGGCATCTGAGAGGCAGAGGAAGGACCTGTGGGAAGTGGGCACGTGACCATCTCGCCTCTTCGATTACTGTCTAAACAAAAGGCTCTTTCTGCTGTCTGCAGATGTCTGCTGGGGCTCTGGCCTGCCTGCGGGCTTCGCTTCCAGGTGCTGAGCCTGTGTGTCTCTTTCTTGGTTGTTTCTGAAGAAGTCAGTGGACACACATCCCCAGGGTCATGACATTGTAAAGCCACCTGCCTCAGTGCCGTTAGTAAAGTGTCATTTAATATCAGAGGGTGATGTTGTCACACCAGTGCTTGTTAGCAGTATCAAACGTTCGCTCCCAAATACGCTACCCAAGAAACCTGCTAATGAGAGGATGATGGTTTTTTTCTTTTTTAAATAATACTTTATTGTGTTTTAGGTGAAAGTTTGCTTAGCAAATTAGGTTCCCATGTAACAGTTTTTATACAGATTGTTCCATGCCATTGGTTACAATGTTCACAATGTTTCAGAATTCTCATTATTTCCATTCTGTTTGTTCTGTTTTCATTGATACAGCTTCCTCGGGTTTATTCTTGACCTTGTCTTTGTGGCCTCTCAGATCCCAAAAAAACCCCCAAACCCGTTGCTGTTGAGTTGATTCTGACTCATAGAGACCCTATAGGACAGAGTAGAACTGTCCCCTATAGTTTCCAAGGCTGTAAATCTTTATGAAAGCAAACTGGCACATCTTTCTCCCATGGAGCAACTGGTGGGTTCAAATTGCTGACCTTTCAGTTAGCAGCCGAGCGCTTAACCACTGCGCCACCAGAGCTCCCTCCTCTCAGATTGGGGAGAGCAAAATCGGGATATTTATGAGGTTGGGGGTCTGATTGAAGGTAGGTCTTTCAGTGAGGCAGCCTGGTTAGGGCTAGGTAAGAATCCTGAGATCATAGTTTAGGATCAGTGGACACAGCAAGGCAAGGGTTTATAGGAGAGGAGAGTAAACACGCTTTCCATAGGATCGATTGAAAATCTGATGTGTTTGTTTAAAAAAATTTTGTTCCTGGAAATTTCCTGAAATAAACAATAAAGTTATTTGCAACTCTCATCTTTCCGTGCATGAGTTTCTTGAAGTCTGGTATAACCATGTAATGCTTCCAGTTGGGTATGTGGTTGACCTCACACTCCACAGGTCCACATGAAATCCCTGATCCTCATCAAGTGGAGGAAGGTCCTTCTAATCCTAGTTTGCTGGGGTTTTGTTTTAATCAGGAAAGAATGTTAAATTTTGTTAAATGCTTTTTTGGGGCATCTATTGAGATGATCATATGGATTTTCTTTTTTTAGTTTGCTCATATGATGAATTACATTGACTGATTTTTGACTGTTAAACCTACCTTACATTCATGGGGTAAGCCCCACTTGGTCATGATCAGTTATCCTTTTTATATAGGCGTACCTCAGAGATATCGCAGGTTTGGTTCCAGACCACCGCAATAAAGTGAATATCGCGATAAAGCTAGTCACATGAATTTTTTGGTTTCTCAGTGCATATAAAAGTTATGTTTACACTTTACTGTAGTCTGTTATGGAGCCCTGGTGGCACAGTGGTTAAGAGCTACTGTGAGCTATGGCTGTT